ATTTCTCTGTCAATATTACTTCTATCAAAAAATAACCACCAAATATGGAATCTTGAGACTCAGACCTTTCCAAATATATGTATTTTGCCAAGATTATAACTTTTGATTCTAAAAGACCGTAATACATTTTGTAATATTATGACACTTGACTCCACCCACTAAGGGGAGGAGACCGCTAAAAGATTTTAAAGTACCATTTCCATGGTAAAGCAATGTCTGATTTAAAAATGTTTTCACAGGATAAATTCTGAGGTTTTAAGCTTTCAAACGATATATAATTTATGATTACTAAAATATGTGATAGAGAAAAAAGACAAAATAAAAAAAGAGCGCCATTGGGCCCACCTGTGGGCCGGTGGCACATAAGGGGTTAAATTACATGCATATTAGAGAAATACATATTACTAATTTGGTAAAAAAAAGAAAAGCGTCAGCCTTTAAAACACCCTATGCATAATCTAATTAACTAATAATATTAGTTGTTAATAATTTTTTAACATTAATTGTAATTAAACATGAAACAACAACCGACCATGGTTCTTTTTATTCCACGTGTTTGCTGCAGTTCTGGAGTGTTCTGACTGTCTGGTTCCGATCTGATTGGCTTCCTGCGCAGCTCGTCTCTCCTGTGCACCACTGTATTCTTTGACTTCAGCTGCCTGGGATGGAAAACGAGACCATCCGTCATCAACCAAACCAGGCAAGACATTAAGATCAGTCATTTAAACCGGAATCAAGAAGCTGGAGTATGAAACTACATCATTAGCTCCTCTTTCATGTCATACCTGATGCTAATCTTGACATTTTAATACAGATGACAAACTCAGACCACCTCTTCAAGCTCCAGCTCGTGTTACACTGAGACGTGTTATACTTGTACCTTGTATAAAAAAAATGTTCCAGCTCACGACTGCAGTTTTGAAATCCAAAAAAGTATTAACTACTTTTCACAAACTGATGGAGACAACTGAATTTGAACATGTTATTTGCATTTTTAGCAATTTTTTGGTATGGCTGTGTGCAGCTTTGCTGCATAGAGGTACACAGTTTAGCCAAAAATATTTTTTAAAATGAAAAATAATATAATAAAAATAAATAAATATAATGCAGCTTAATTTCCCCCCTTAAAATGTATACAGTATGTGGGGCTGAAATTACAGGACGAAATAACACTACTTGTTATAAAAAATTAAATTAAAATTAAAATATTTTCATTTAACATTTAATTTAGACACACATATGAATTGTAGGGTTAAGAAAGTGGCATACAAATGTGTGAAATAGAAACAAAAAAGTATGAGAAATATAATTTTTAAAAATGTAAAATAATAATAATAACGCATATTATTTTTTTCACTATGGTCTTTGACTTGTGGACCAACAGTACATAATCTTTTTATGATTCAATATCAATCAGTAGATGAATGAAAATTCTAAAAGTTTTTAAAAAAAGAAAAAAATAGATAAAAAAGGAATAAAAACAACAACACACCGTTTTCATATTATCATTATTAGTAAGTCTTTCTTTTAATATTAAGAAAGAAAGAGAGAAAGAAAGAGAGAAAGAAAGAAAGAGAGAAAGAGAGAAAGAAAGAGAGAGAGAAAGAAAGAGAGAAAAAGAGAAAGAAAGAAAGAAAGAGAGAAAGAGAGAAAGAAAGAAAGAGACAAAAGTGTTTGAATCCGGGAAAGAGTAACTAAATCAAAACTAGGTGAATATACAGTAACTCAAAAATTTTCTGAATTATAGTTTTTTAAAACACATTGATCATTTCCTTCGTCTTTTTTGATCCAACACAGGAGACACTGTGTCTATAGCACAGGATATTTGTGTGTTTTTTTCTGGTGACATGAAAGGGAAGTATTTGGTTTGTATAGGAGACGTCTATCTGACTATAGAGTTGAGCGGATCTGCCTCGATGAGAGACGCTCAGTTTTGTCATATGGCTCCAGCCGCCTTCACCTCATGTCATCGAAACCATCGATTGCAAACTGATTGAGTCCCCTGGCCAACAACTAGTATTGGTGTGTATCTGCATATATGTGGGTGAAACCTAAACCATATTCATCTTGTATTACAATATTCCTCAAGTGAGGAAAAAGAAACATCACAAATATTACAATTAAAACCACTCAGATGGAAAATATATTATATATAACTTATTTGAATCACTGATTTAGTGATGATGATTTCTAGGCATATGGCAAAGGAAATTGGAGGGAATGATGTGCTCTTAAGTTTCAGACGGCCTTAAGGGCCTCGATATGTTTGTGGTCTTGCTTCAAGTCAATAATCAGTGGCATTAAGATTACTGGTATGCAACAACTGAAAATAAGCTCATGGATTATATTTCCCAACCACAAGCAATAGCAATAACATAATACTGTATCGATAACGGGAATCTGATAGTGTTTCATGAAAGGAAACGATTACATTTGCATTACAGATAATCATGGAGGGGAACGAATAGAATCAGAAAGGCAATTATAAGTCATGTGACACGGATCGGTGACATGGCTTGTGTCAAATATGAAGGTAATTAAAAAAGGACACAAGAGTAATGGATCCCACAATTTAAAGGGAGCAAATAATGATACATTTGCTTGATCTTTTGCAATACCATAAAACTCGATTAAACATTCAATTAAACAGTTGAGTCAACAAACACCATTTAAACATACGGTTTAAACTTTCAGAACTCAAAAAGAGCATTTATTGAAACTAAACTGTTAATGACTGTCCGAGGCCTTGTGTAGCACCTACCGCTCTGCATACCCAGGAGTTTATATTTATATTTAAGATGGTCCCTGATTTTTTCAGTCCAATCTTAACATTTTATGCGCCGTATGCCAGTGCAGATTGTTTTGTGAACCCGTTCTATTAAACCTGTTGAAGGATTGGATGCTTAAAAATTATATTGGACCTGCGGGCAAGTAATAAATGAGTGCAGCAAAGTAATGAAAAATTACCTGTTTAATTATACGGGTCAGAGAGAAGATGCAAAATAGCCTAAGAATTATGGAAACCCTAAATTAGGTTTCTGGACCTCAAGGAAAAAAAATTAATAAAACGAGGACAAAATGTATACGGAACATACATCTGTCTCTTAGGCATAACGGTTAATGCATGACATATTTTAACAAACAATTCACATTATTAATGCAATGACTTGAATACACCTCTTCTATGTAATTATCGGAATTAAAAATAATTTAGATTTTTTTTTAAAGGTGGCAAACAGTAAAAAATGTCAAGGTAATACAGCTGTCTTGATAATATAGAAAGCTGAATTCAAAGAAAACAAAAAGAATATACATGCATTTAAAAAAAAATACAAATGAGTGTAAACTGTCTGTTTAAAAAAAAAAAAGTTTTAATATTAAAATAATAATTAAAGGGTAGGACTTACACAAAAATACACAATCATCAGAATGTTAATTACAAAATTCCCCCCACCCGCCCATGAAGATGGCACAAGGTGACAGTCTGTCCCTCCCAATCACTCAGATAGTGCTAAACTAATTAGCCTAGCCTTGAGAGTTGGGACTGTCCCCTGTGACGAGCTCACCCCATGTCAACCATCGCCCTGCCCTCAGATCCTGTGAGAGAGTAAATGGCACTGATGTTATGCTAACACTGGCTACAGCATAAAAGGCTGATGATTATGAGCTGTGTTGATGTTTTAACTTCAAAACCTGGGTGGAGTGACATTTTAGGGCTGGTAACCTAAAAAGTTTAGATTTTAGGAGCTGATTTTTGAGTATCCCCGTGTGGACAGATAGACTCACCCAATAGCCAAGCAGAGGCTACGGTACCAATCATTAATGTCCCCCTGATCATCGGACATTAGAAGCAGTTTGGCCCTGGCAAAGGTCAACTAGAAGAGAGAAAATATTCAGTTAGAGGAAGAGATATCTAACGTAGCGTTAGTTCTGGCAGGTCACGTTAGTCAAGCTCGCATCAGCTGACTCTCAGCTGATCCCCATCTACCTATGGGAATACGACACCTATCTAAGCATTCATATATAAGGTCCCTCAGTATTATCAGCAGTTTTCGCATTGCTCAATAGCTAATTACCCTACTCCATCCCCAACTCCTCCTCTGTCAGTCAGCTGCTCTCATCCATGCTAGGCTGCATGGATGCGCAGGGAGTTCTTGCCCAGAACAGAACCATACCGCCAATCCAAACTGTATGCTAATTGTCAATCATCTTTGACGATAGTGGTCCTGACAAAATGAGAGTTTATATATGATAGAAACTGGTGAAGGACACTGAAAAGTGGTGATTTTGGTGGTACCATTTGTCTAGATGAGAGAGTGTTTGTATACGGATAATTTCTTCCCTCCTTTTCTCTTTTTCTCGCATTTCCCATCAGATCAAACATTTGTCTCTTAGGCATAAGGATCAATGAAAGATGCTCATATCATATAATCATTTATCCAGAAATGCATTAAAATGCAATACATCTCTTCTATGATGACCATGCTTTTAATTACAGAATTAAAAATAACTTTTGATAAACTCAAGTTTGTTGTGGGGCACAATATGCAGAACAAAAGTTTTAAAATACCATATACTGTATATATATATATACCCGTCACCATTTTTCTCAGTAAATATATTTCTAAAGGTGCTGTTGACATGAAATTTTCACCAGATGTCGGTAACAACCCAAGTAATCCATACATACAAAGAAAACAAAACAAATAAATTCAGAAATTAAGCTATGTGTAATAAAATGGAATGACACAGGGAAAAAGTATTGAACGCATGAAGAAAGGGAGGTGCAAAAAGGCATGGAAAGCCAAGACATCAATATGTCTATACATACATACATACATACATACACTGTATGTATATATATATATGTGTGTGTGTAAAAAAAAAATTATTAAACCATGTACACTCACATATATTTAAGGTATAATGAAATGATATTGCCTTTTACTGAAACGTCTCTCGAAAATGGTAAAAACATCTTTCAAAAAACCAACATATGTTGTTGTGCACATAATTCCTTTGGATCACTAGAGGGCATCCATGAACTAGTTTGTTTGCATTGCCTCCAGTGTTTACATGGACCATGGTCTCAAAATCTCAAACATTTGTGATCTTATGATTCACAGTACTGGCTTCAGTTTTTCAGGCATATAGCCTATAGATGTACAGGACGAACGGCCACAATTAGGCATTTTAAAGGCTTAACTGGCCTTAAGATGAATTTTAACATTTTAGCATTGAAGGTGAGACAACTTAATCCACCTCACAAAACATTAAAGAACATCGTCAATAACATTAGTAGATAATTTAATGCGTTTAATGATTTGATTTTCAATCTGATGCAAAACAGGTCATGAAAATGAGAACCACGAAGGAGCTGCAGAGGAAGCAACACGTTCTCCACTCGAGCCCAAAGGCGCACAGATGTGCCAGTTGATGCTCTCAGCTGCTAATTTGGCAATGATCTGCACTTGGAGGACAAGTTTTCTGAGCTCGGCCCACGTTCTCCGCCTCCCGTCAGATGGCTCATCCTTGAGTCAACAGCAATTACCATCACTCATCCGCACTGAGGAGACTTTACTGCTAGATTACACATGTCAAACAAGACAATGGGAACCATCCAACCCCAAACAAAGGCAGAGGCTTTATCCTCAGAATAATTACAATGGGGACCCATTAGAGTGGATTATAATTGGGGCCTTGAAAATATTAAATGACCTTTCACATTTACCTGAGGCCGCCGGAGTGGAGGAAACGGCAGCAGTTACAGACAGCATATCAATAATCAGGCCTAATCTTTATTACGACTGGGGACGGAATCGTAATGATGAGTGGAGCCGGGTCTTTAATGGACACCTGGTAAAAAGCAATGACGCTCCGGTTATATTTTAAGGAGGCGGGGGGGTTGGTGCGCTTGTTTCTCATTAGGTATTAAATAGATTAAGATTTCAAATGTACCATCATCAAAAGTATTATCTAATTACCGAGTTCAGCGAGCGAGGCAAAGCGGAGCGCGATATTAGGGGTCCGCCGCATGGGGGGACGGGTGGCCTGATTTATGCACAAATAGATTCCACTTCTATTGCGATGCGGTAATTAGGGATTTGTCAGGAAATCTGACCCTCTTAGGTAGAAATTACTTTGTATAATACGAACGGCGGAGCACTCTTCGACGCACATAATTTCACTTGATTATTTATACATCAAAGGGAATCGTCATGGATGCAGAATAATATTCAAGGAGGTGGAGGAAGAAAGACGGGGAGCCGTGAGAGGAAGATGGAGAGACGAAAAGGGAGGGGGATGCGAAGATGGGAAATGCGAGAGAAAGAGAAAAGGAGGGAAGAAATTATCCGTATACAAACACTCTCTCATCTAGACAAATGGAATCTATTTTCATAGCGCATTTTCCTCTACTACTACTACTTTCAAACTTTGCATATAGATTGCCATGGCATTTCCAGCTGTCAAATTTAATTTTGCTTTAATTCTTCACGGCCCGGCTGGGGAGGGGCCAGAGAGTGCTGACAGCCTCTTTCCCCTTCGGTCCAGGTGGGAGGCGGGTGGAACCGGGATCAATAATGTGTCCTTATGAGAAATTACACCTAATGCTATTGAGTATGCATTTGAGGCCTCTGTGGGATAACAGGCTAATGAAATGCCATTTCTAGCCATTAGATAATATGCAGCCTCGGCCACGGCCCAGGTGGAGGAGAGGAGAGGAGTGCGGAGCACTGACAGGGTTTCAGGAAGATGCATTCAGCGGCCGAGCGGAAGAGATGGATCTGTGATCTAATCTGATGGAGTGATGCGAGCGCCTTCCCACACTTCTTTAGAGCAGGTGGCCTTTTTAGGTCTATTCCATGTGCCAAAAAAAGCATACCTGCGACATGATAGTCTAGTAGTTCCGAGACCACTAGCTCCCTTAAATCTTACGAAATGCTCAACAACTTGTAAAGTAATATATACTACATCTTTAGGTTGTATTTATGTAGTTAATGAGTATGAATCTCAGTATGTATATGTAATAATTGTATATTAGTTAGATTTATGCTATTTTATAACCAACTAAACCACATGGAATAAATGCCTTTGTGGTGTACGATACATTCGTCTGAATGTTTCATGAGAGTGTGGAGATCGTTTAGACATAATTTGTCACACAGCGGCAGCACAGAGACCTGGAATGAGATCAAGCCATGTGGAGACATTAAAACTTGAAGCCTTATGAGGAACTCGAGTAATTAGCGCAAGAAGGAGAATGATAAATTGATCATTTTTGCTAACTTGCAGATCAAGTCATTCTGAGAACAATAAGTGTGGGGAGGGACATATGGTTCAAATATATTTGATGGATTTGAAGAGTGCCTATGAGGAATTTTAATGGATAAAATGTGTTATACTCCACAGATTGCCCAAAAAAAATACATGGGGCTATAAGAATGCATTGATCCACCAATGAAAATTTAATGCATCGATTACAGAATCTAAAAATCAATTATAATTTCTACAATAATATCCAATAATGTACTGTGCATTCAATCATTTTAAGTTCACCCAAATCCCCAGTCTACCTCTGGCGTGGACACATTTAATGGAGATGAAATGTTAGTACTTTTAATAAAACATATTTTTGACAATTATCCCTCAAAATGCGACAATCATAAGCATGCCTATAATAATCTGATTTCTAAGAAAAGTGTGAACATCAACACGCCATTGACTCGCGCAGCGTGACTTTTAGTGGAGTGAGTGGGTCAGGAACAACACACTTCAAATTTATGAACATCCATGAAAATAAAAATGAATCATACCAAAATAAGTGAACTGAATTATGAACAAGAATAAATCCACCTGAATTGTAAATATAGCTGTTTTAACTTACACTAATAAGGCCTCCCTGGCTTTTGGTGTGGCCGAAGACTTTATCCACTGTGCACTCCTTTAATGGGTAGATTCGCTGGCAGGCAAACTTATCCCCATTGAAAGGATGTATGGGACTGCATGGTTTGGCCTGGAGCAGGATGTCAGAGAACAGGTAAAACATCTTGGGTTTTGCCTCCGTGCCTTTAGAGGGCACTGTCTTTAGCCAGCCTTCCCGAATGTACCACCTCCCTACAACGAGAAGAGATAACAGGGAAATGGATGAAGGACTTACCTATTGTCTACCTAAAAAGTCAATTTCAAGCAGAGAATAAAAAGCAGAAGGTTTACATGACTTGAGACGGAAAAGAGACAACCAATCTCCCTTCTCAGTGATTGGCAGTTGCATGATGGAAACTAAATTAGATGCTGACATTTGGATAGATAAGATGAAATTTCATTCCTGCTACTGATTCCTTAATTGCCCCAGTGAACCTTGTGATTGCAGCTCTGGCGATAGCAAGAGCGTGGAGCTCAAAATGGATGCTCTGAGCGACAGACAAGCACTCTATGATTAGCAGAGGGGTCAAGTAGGGGTCAAACCGCTTTTTAAAAATGCCACAGGTTTAATACGAGGCAACAACGAAGACACATTCTGTGATACTCCAGGGCGACATGTGCAGATTGGATTTAATGGTTTCTTTGGCTTCTTTAAATTGGTAACATGCATTTACATGGTCAAGTTCTATTTGGATCATGCAGGATAGTCATGCCTGACGATTTCGGTTGCACATCCACAATGCTAACAAGTGTACAAACTCAATAACAAGACACCCAGAGCCAAAAACATTAAGTTGTCCACAGGTATATCGGTAAAGAACCCCCGGTTCTGTTTAATGTGAATCTGTATGCCTCAAATACCCGTCACTGGTTTGGACTGACATATCCAAAGGAAGGCTTCATCGGCTCAGTTCAAAGAGCAGGAACTTGGAGATCCCCCTCTTCATGTTGAACGCTTTCAACTTTCCCTGTCAAAGAGCACCTCTGCCCAGCTACAAAGGACCTAGTGGTTTGCAGGGTGCTAAATGTTGCACTACAAAGCGGCCGGGGTCCTCCTGATGTGACCAAGCCAAAGACCCAGAGACACATAAAAGCATTTCTCTATTTGAAAGTGATGGAATGGCAAGTCAGATCATTGTTAATTTTGAGAAGGCTTTGTTGGATAGGCTACCCTTTCATGTCAGTTAAAAGGGGATTCAGGTGTTCATCTACAGTATTCAAAGCCCAGGAGCCCTCTTTTTAAAGTTTTGTTCTGATTCAGGTTACTCGATTGTACGAACAATTGTGACTTTAAGGTCGCAACATATTCTACTATGCAGGCAATGCAAGCTTTACAATTACACAATGCTGGATTCATTGCCGCAAGTAGGAGTAATGTATGTCATCCAAAGGGCATGGAACGGTCTCATCTTTCTCTCTTCGTCTTTGTATTACGCTCTGTAGGCCAGAGAGTTTCAGCTTGGCCCTTGGAAAGCTGTGGTGGCAGCAACGTCCTGCCGAGGACTCCAAGGAAACAGACAGTCTGTCTGCCGTATCAATGTCCCATTGATTCAAGCTTTGCGTCTGAGAATTACACTGCCCTTATCTCCAAGCCGACCACTTAATATTGTTCAGGGGCTCCGAAGCCTCTCATCTGCCAAGCATCACTTTCGTTAGGGCACATCTGAGGAAACAGAGGGGTTGGGTGAGATAAGCTGGGATGGCCTGGTTCGGTTCGGCCTTCTGAAGTCAGAAAAAGTGCAAGTGGAAGAAAAGAAGCCTTATTGGACAAGAGAAAGGATCTCGGTAGAATTCTAGAGTCCTGGAAAAACAGGATGAGAGTTTTTTTTTTTACACTCTTCCTACATCCGGCGCTATGTGAAATGAGCCCAGTGCTCGTTGGGTATTCATCGCCAGCCTCCCAACCACCTTTGTGCACACACACACTCTCTCTAGCTCCCTTTCTCCCAGCTTCCTTTTTATCTGCCGGCCCACAAGATGAGGAGAGGCGCTAATTGGTCCTGGGGGAGATTGGCAGGCCAAGGCATTCACGACAAGGCCCTCTCTCTCTCTCCCCCTTCCTTCTCCATCTCCTTCTCTTTTGTTTCACACATGGGCATTCTCCCTTGGGATAAATAAGAAGGAAGAAAGGACCTCCACTCCACAAGTAGCACAAGAGAAGAAAGATGGAAAGAACTGACATAAGGCACACTTCCCTTCCATTACCAATTAGCGGTGAGAACTTGTCGATAAATTCAGTTAATTCTCGCGTCGGAGACTGCGATTGTGGCTGGCGAAAACAAAACCGCCCGCTATCGCCTCTATTGATTATGGGCAAACAGCTGGGTCTCTTTTAAACAAGACTACTTTTCCACACTCTTCCACCTGACCTCCTTCATCCGCTTAACTCTCTGGCTCTCCACGGAGCTCTGGGAGATAAAAAGAATGGAAGATCACAGTCTCTAACCTGGAGTCAGGATTCTGGTCTTTCGGCCCTTCAGCTGTTTCTGGACTCTGCGCAGCTGCAGGTGGTTCTCATGGCTGCGAGCGTTGTCCTGGATCCGCTGGGTGACCTCTGAGACGGCTTTCACTGCCTCTGCACCAAAAGGGCACATGACATGAAACGGTGGAAGGGACAGAATGGACACAACCAAACTCTGAGAGCACAACAAACTAAACAACACTAAAATTACTCCTTATGCCAAGCACACAATGAAAGACTGAAGCATGTCACACTGTGTACATTTAAAGACACAGTTTATTAAGTTTTCTGTCATGTTGGTAAACACTTCACTTGACTAATTGCAGATTAGGTGCATCAATTATGAGATCCACACTGTTATGTGCTTGGAGGAAGCGCTATTCGAAAAAATAAAAACTTCCACTTCACAATGCATCACTCTCCTTTTTAGCTCTTTTGGTGCTAATTAATTGGCTGTCACTTATTGCAGTTCTCAGGCTAGTCGGGACACCTGAAACCAGATTTCAAACCATTTTTCAAACCTTTTTTTTTGACAAAAAAAAGTGACAAACTTCAGTCTTGTGTGTTTGGCATTACTTCTAGTGTTTGTTCACAGATACATTCAGTAATGAACATGTTCAAATGCATAATTTTTTGGGTGTACTAATGGCATTAATCTAATGCAAATCTATGATTTATTGTAAATAATAACAATATATGCACTTCTTTGTAGAGTGTTAAATCATTACCATAACTGTATAATTTGATGGTTCCACAAAAAAGTACACATAGTTCAATACAGTAATATGAACAAGAGTGTGACCTATTTATGCAATTCTGAACTTATTACGAGCGTCAAACGAGTAATAATACAACAGCATGACACACTAATAAGTGCACACCCATAGGCGTTCATGCATTATGCACACTGCATTATTGCATATGATAATAACAGTTTGTTTTTGGCCTCCACACAATGTTTGATTTCACCATCAACCCCCTGGAGAAAAATGAGGGTGCATTAACACATCCAAACACCACTGATTGGGTGAAGACCTTGCCATAGGATGTTGTGCTATAGCCATCAAAAGCACAAGGCCTACATACTTAATCTGAAACTTTTGTATTTCTGTCTGCCTGTCTGATAAACACGGTTTCTGTACAAAACAGATTTCTGTGGTTCATTGGTTTATTGGAAGCAAGCTGTGCAACATAAAAGCGTCAAAACGTGATCTAAATAATGTAAAGTGCACTCGTTTTCAGAGTTTCAGATCGTACTTTTTTAGTTTGCAACTAAAATTTTAGAGAAAACATTTTGCCAATTACCGTGCCTGGAATTCATTAACTAATGTAGACATCATCAACTCATTAAGAAGAAAAAAGAAACACAAACAAGCAGATGGATACTAATTTTATACCCAGCTTTGGTCTTATTGACTCTAACCATTCAGACAATGAACACAGTGCTCGGGGCGTTTGCCTCATAGTAAAATAATCACAGCCTAATTGAGTTGCTTATCTTTAGAACAATTACAAGCAAAACCAAACAAAGTGACTGTTTAGAGATGACTGGGCCTCTCTCAGTCCTTCCTTTTTAAGAAAACCCTCTCTATAATTGTGTTTCAACAGAGCTACGGCTGATGCATTATTAATACCATCTCATTCCACATTCTACGAACACTTTCTCTCTGTCTTTTTATTTTAGACATTCAGTATGTTTAAACAGATCTCGGTCCGAGGAGTTCTCTCGAGTGTTAATTTTTTTTAATTAACCTTTGGCAGTCTTCGCGAATGAGTTGAGGAGATACTTGGCTGTAGGGAAATGCAGAAGTTAGTGCTCCAAAACGTACGCGATTGACGAACGCTGCAATTATGATAATTAAAACAGTGGCGTTTCGCTGCATGTGTGATGAGAAAAATAAAAAGAGCAATAAATGGGGGAGGGGTGAAATCAACACACAAAAAGAAAACTGGAAAACAACAACAAAGCCTCTTGTGAGTTTCACTGCTAGTTTGCTTAATCAGATACAATATAATTTGTCTGGGGTTGTTTTTAAATAATTCCCTTTACAATATGCCTAGGCCGATTGAGGAAACTTTTTCTTTTTCTCTCCCTTCCCAAAAAAGCTAGTGAGCTTAAAAAGCAGCTCTAATGAGAAGAGGAAGAGGCAATGGAGGGGCAAATCTGGATATGTACCTTCATCTTAGAATCAGGGGCTGTTTTAATTTGTAAGCAAAAGCAGCAAGCAACCAATGAGATTTTAATTGATACACATAAATAATTCCTTGTGTACACTGGCTCTTAAGTCAGATTTGCCGTTTATTTGACGATAGAAATGAGTCATTATCGGGGCTTCTGTTGATGCCGGAGATTTTATTTATTTATATTTTGCATGGTTGATATCCTCTGATCTGGTCCCTATTAATTATGTCGAAATCCACATCGAGAATTTAGACTCACGTTAAGCTTTGCCGTACTTTCATCCTCGGCGAGCAAAGCCACCCGGTGACAATAACAACACGTGAGCGCTACAACAGGGGCCCAGAGTTGTTCTTTGTCACCCTAACAAAGACAAGGGAGGCTGTCTTTTCGGCTGCCAGCTTAAAAACTTTTTTCCCTTTAAGACGCGGGTTTGTTTTGGCACCGTATGAAACGATTTCAGCATTTGCACCTTCTTCAACAGGCCATGGTATCCTCCGCAATGCTTATCTCCGCAAAGCACCTCATCATCACAAACACGTTGAGTGATCTCTTTTTAGGTTGCTCTGTAAGTGACAAACTAGAGTGGAAAGCAAATTTGACAAGCATAACAAGTGTGACTTTGGGTGAATGTGATTCCGCAGCTTGATACAGATCCTGACAATAAACAGATAAAAAAAAACAACAACATCTAGACAGGCTAAACCCATCAACATTTTTGTCACAGAGCGCTAACAGGATAAGAGAGTGTTTGTCGAATTGCGAGACGGCGGTGCCTCTTACTTGAAAGCTGCTGAAACTCCGGGTTGTCTGGACTGGTGTTCTCTGTCAAGTCCCTCAAGAAATGCTTGTACCTAAAAAAGCAACAAATAAACAAAACATGGCACAGGCTTAATGCAACGTTTCTATAAATACACCCTTAAAGCGCAAGAGAAAACCGATCTCGGCATGTCAGGGTAAGCAGGTCGGACAAGCGCTGTCAACGTAAGACGACTTTACTCACATTAAGATGCGTTTAAGAAAAAAAAGCTTTTCTTTTTGAGAAGGAATAAAGAGCCATTCAGCCTACAAAATTACACTAATGTGCCGCATTTCTGCTTTCTCCGGAACAGATTTTGTGCTATTTTAGTGGCACGATAAAGATGAGGATTTGGAGGAGGATGTAAAAATACAGACAGAAAAATTAGAATGTACTTCCTTCTGTCCGGGCCACAAAAACAAGTGCACGGGGTCAAACTTTACATTCACCTCTGTTCAGAAAAAAATTAAATATTGATTATTGTGCTATTCTCCCCTGAAGACACAAAAAGGTTATAAATGGCTGGGTAAATCAAGGGCCCAATTAAGGAAATGACCCCTATTGCAAGGTGAGGGCCAAATTGAGAGAGGAGAAAATTTGGTGGTAATTCATTTCATGTTTCAGGGATGGCGATAAAGATAGAGCGAGTCTTAATGCCAGAGATTACAGTTCACTTAAGCAGAGCTCCAGCGACTACAGACATCAAAGGCCTCTTTCAAATGAGAAGGCTCTCAGAAAAAGTTCGACTCTGTGGTATCGTCACAATTGGGAATACGATTCTCTACAGTTTTCTGTACTTTGATTGCAGTGGAACTTGAAAAGTTTTGGAGGGAGTGCATTAGCATTACACAGGTGTATGCAGGCAATTAATGTAGCAATCAAATATGCATTACGGCAAAAACCATGAAACTAAATATCATATGCATTCATTAGGTTATGTAAACAGTGGTGGCAGCCGCCAAGACGCCCATGTCACCCATCACCCATGACAACCACAGAGGGGGGGTGGAGGAGCACATCTTTTAAACTCCACTTCTGACGAGAGATTTTAAGAGGGTTGAGACTACAAGGCCAAAGAGAGAGAGAGAGAGAGAGAGAGAGAGAGAGAGAGAGAGAAGGAAACGTCTGACTCCTCCTTTTCGGCCCTCCCTCCCTCTCAGGAGTTTAGAGGTGATTTGATAAACAGTTTCAGGCAAAACAGTCAGTTAGAGTACAGGATGTGTATTTATTCACAGCAGGGCTTGTGGGATATCCTGCAAAGCTTCTCATATTAAAAGCTGAAACTGAAAAATCCCAGCATGTGCATGCTCATTTATTCAATTATTATTTATGATAATTGTGCCGTATGCAAGCGTTAAATGTCCTCATCTGATTAAATTTTAGATCCTTGTTCTTATGAAATATATTAAAGATTTAAAGATCTAATATTTAACAAAATCCATTGCAAGGAAAGTCTGATAAACTCATGTCTGATAAAAAAAAAGAATTTATGAGTTTGTATGTAGTTTGTTGAAATAGAAGTCAAATTATTTAAAAATGAAAAAAAAGGGCTGCTGACTGACTGTACATTATCCAATACTTAGCAGGGATTCACCGATATTAAAATTTTGATAGATAAGCTGAAAATAATAATAATTTAGAATATATATATATATTATATATATATACTGTATATATATATATATATATATATATATATATGCTTTTAACTGACAAATTAATGATATTAACATTTTCAAATTTCTGTATGACTTTTTTTTTTTATTACCTGGCTAAAAGTAACATGAAACCCGAAAAGCCATGGAAAAGAGATAATGCACAGTCCATCACTGCTGAGGAGGAGATGTCAAATGCTCTGTCACCACCTAAAAGTACTTCTGCCAAATGAGTGCTCCCTTAATCTATTGGTTCAAGGGGGCACGATGACCTTGGACTTCATTGACAACTGCCATTGATTTCTGTCTGTGAGTGTCTCGCTCTTCATTCTCCCTGCTTCTTCTATCAGGTCAGGACCCGAACGCATCGGTTAAAGCAGACATATGGGTGCCAGGGCAGTGAAACGCTCCCAGCAATCACTTGGGAGGAAATGAGACCGTTTCATGTATGAGGACATTACAAGTCGAACTCTGGCAGAGAGGGTTGTGCATATGAGCGCATAACACCAGATATGAATCCATCCTACATCATACATCATCTCTAGACTTTCCTATATGTGACCCTGGACCACAAAACCAGTCATAAGGGTCAATTTTTTTAAATTGAGATTTATACATCATCGATATGCATAAACACGCTTTCCATTGATGTATGGTTTGTTAGGATAGGAAAATATGTGACTGAGACACAACTATTTGAAATTCTGGAATCTGAGGGTGCAAAAAAATTCAAAATATTGAGAAAATCACCTTTAAAGTTGTCCAAATGAAGTTCTTAGCAATGCATATTACTAATCAAAAATAAAATTAAGTTTTGATATATTTACGGTAGAAAATTTACAAAATATCTTCATGGAACAAGATCTTTACATAATATCCTAATGATTTTTCACATAAAAGAAAAATCGATAATTTTGACCCATACAACGAATTTTTGGCTATTGCTACAAATATACCCCAGCGACTTAAGACTG